CCGGTGTTGTCGAGTTGGCCTCGGGGGTATCCGTTGGAGGGAAGAAGGAATCTAGGAAAGCCTGCGCCTTGTCTTCGTTCTCGATAAGCTCTTGGTCGTCTACCTTTAGTGCCGGGACACAACCCCACGTCTCCCTTGGTTTCATGTAGGTGGCCGCTTTCCAGAGTTTTCCCTCTCCGGCTTCGTCTAGAAATTGCCTCCAATGTGATGCTTTGGCTTTCTCAATCGTCCGAGTCCACGCTCGTCGGCTTTGTTGCATCTCTTGGAAAGCAGTTGTGGAGTGAGGATGATCTCGAACGAGTATTCCACAATTTTCCTGCCATCTTCGACGAAGTTGGTTGACTTTGGTTTGTTGGACTTTGAGGTCTGGCGTAAACCACCGTTTGGAGTACGGTGTCAGGCGTGTGTCAGGTGTAAACTTATTGACACTTGCCGTTGTGGCCTCTGTGAGGTTTTGGACGGCCTCGTCAAGTGCTGGTCGAGTTTTGATTTCTTTCCACGGGCCGGTTCGCCGTGTCACTTCTTCGCCAATCTTGTTCCAGTCCGCACGTTCGTAAGCTTTCCTTGTCTGCGGGGTTCGCTTGCTGTGGGCTTGAAGATTCCATTCGGAGTACGTGGCGCGGTGGTCCGATCCGTAGTTTTCGTGGTAAAGGTGACATTTGACTAGTAGCTCTGGCCGATCCGTTACTGTTTGGTCAATGGTGGAGTTCCTCCCTGGATCGCTGAGCGACCAGTAGGTTGCAGTTCCCCGAGGCAAGCAGCTGTGAAGACTGTTCGCTTGAAAGAACGCGATCAGGTCACTAGCGTCTTCGATAAATCGTGATTGGATACGGTTGCCGCCCCACATTGGGTGGTGGCGATTGAAGTCTCCTCCCAGAACGATGCTCGTTGATCGGTAGTCATCTTGTAGAGTCGTTGTGATTGTGTTTTGAATTGCGGTGAGTGCAGGTTCTGCTGAAGCCTCACTGTCCGTACACAAGGGAATAGAAGGGATGTAAACGGAGAAGAATAGTATTTGAGAGTCAGAAGTCCAGATCTTGATCGCAGCGACATCTGGGTGGTCACATGGGATTTGTCGGTGTGCCGAAGTAGAGATATTACGATTCACATAGATCAGACTGCGAAATCGGGCTGCATCGGTCTCGGTCGTCGGGCGGTAGAGGCGCCAGGAGCTGTGGTTGACGTGGGTGCGGTAGGTGGTAATGGACGGTTCCTGGATCAAGAGTACATCCAGGTTTTGGCTTTGATGATCGTTAATGAGGGCCTCCATTCTTGGTCCCGATTTCATAATGTTCAACTGTAGTGCTCGTAGGTTTGTCTCTAACATTGACGGGGTTGACAGGGGTTGGAAGATGCGGGGGTCGCACACTGTCGGTCTCCTGTTGCATGTTCTCCGCTGCAGTCTAGGCACCTCGCTCTGACGCCCGGAGGGCATCGTTGCCGTTCATGTTGGCCCGCGCAATGTCCGCACCGTGGTGTTTCCTTGCATGACCACGCTAGGTGTCCGAAACTTTGGCATCGGAAGCATCTCTTTTTCTTGATCTCGCGGCGTTCCACACTGCCAATGTATCTCTGGCCCACCAAAAGACCGTTGTTGAGGATGCGTTCAGCTCCCTCCGCTGAGTCGAACCAGATGCCAAGCGATGCGAATTTCCCTAATATCTTGTCCTTCCTTTTGAGCCAGGCCACCTCCTCGATTTGGAAGCCCTGTCCCGTGAGGCCGTTTTCGTCCATGATTTTCTCAATGGCCTGGGTGTTTGCACTCTCCAAATTGAAATGCTCTGTTGGGGTGCGATGCACGACGATGCCGAATCGTGGTTTCACCATTTTCGTATTGTTTCCTAGTTCATTCAACCATTCGGTGTTGTTGCGGGCCAGCTCGGCCGACTCGGTGTCCTTAAATCGAATCACGTAGCCTGTCTTGGTCGTGCCAATCCCGGCGACCTGGGCGTCCTGAGTTGTTGGAGCGTTCATCAGCGCGGTGCGGATGTGGCTGTTAGCGGAATCTGTGGGAAGGTATCGGCCGAAGGTGTTTCCATCGCTGTTATTATTGTCCGCTGGATCCACAAATGATCGTTGGGTACTAATACGAACGCAGTTCAGGTCCCTGTCTGGCTGCGAGTCGGTTTGTTGAGGAGGGGCAACGTTGCTGCTGGCCGCAACTGTTGCCCATGTTCTGGACGCAGGTGCTGGTGGGAGTGCGTCGATTTGAGCTCGCATAGCTCTGATTTCCTCGTAGAGCTTCTCATTCTGGTCACGAAGGACATTCTGGTCGTGTTTGACCTCCTCGATCTCGGTCTTAGTGGATTCGATGAGTGCAGTTTGGTGGTGGATGATTAACTTCAGGCTGTCGATGAGCTTCCACACTTCCCTGGTGGTAACCCGGCCTGTACTTTCCACTGGTGTGAAGGCACCATCGCTCCGTGTTCTTTTGCGAGACTCAGGAAGCGGCTCGATCGGTACGCGAGGCTGGAAGTCCTCGACTGAGAAGCTGGTGGGGTTTTCTCCGGTGTTTGTGGGAGGGGGTTCGGGCCCTCCCGTATGTGGGTCCACCATCGGTACGCGGTTAGCTCCCGCTCGGCACACAACCACAAGTAATGTATATTGAAGGTAATGTTAACCACGCCTTAGTATCCCTAACTCTGTTTCTCACTTGGTGTTCTCTCTTAAATACCGATCACATACAGGATGGATCGAAATTAGTTTCACCACTTGCACACGGAGAATCTATCTCGAACCCTCTCTTGAAACACGCTATACTTATTACAGCTACTCTTCCCCTGAACCCCTGTCTTGGCAGTAATTCAATACACGTGTAAATAACAGCATGAAAATAACTTCTGTATTAGACCTGTATGGTTCTTAGTGTTTCTAGAACGTTGACCCTGCAAACAGGCCAAACACGGGGGTTGTCTGCTCTTCCCGTCTAGAGATGTGGTAGGAATTCGAATCCCACTCCCATCAACCGCACACCGCTACACCGAGCGCGGTGTATAGAGACAGTACTAGTAGGTCATAGTTATTTGCTTTGTGTAGCAAGTTTGACCTTCTCATGGAAGACTAGCATTTGCTTGACTGACCGGTTGTGATCATGCTGACGTTGGATTCTTTGGAGCGTTCAGACGAAGACGATGACTACTGATTCATATCCCGATGGATGTGATTTTCAACCGTATGTACTTGAACCTGGAGACAAAGGTTCGCAATATGCTCCCACTTCAGGATACTACGGTCGCACACCTGCGTCAAGCTGTGGGCTCAGCCCTTCCCCTGACTATCACTCCGAGCACAATCTAGAAGACCTGTGTCAAAACGAGCCCGAAAGACCCAGACTGTTCCAGCTATCCGAGTGGCACGATGGGATGCTAAGTGACGAGCTTCCGGCAAACTGCATCCAATATACGATAGAATAGAAAGTTGCAGTGAATAAGAAGGTGCTCTCGCGAGACACTGAAGAGGATGTAGTCTCGACTCCGAGTGCTTATTGGCCGAAGACCCTGAAAGATAAGTTTAAGAGGTTGTTAAAAGGGAAAATCCCCCGTAAAGGAAGGGTAAGATCGGACGACACTTCAATCGCTGTATCAGTGAAGGATCGATCCCAACGCGACCTGATGAAACGTTTTGACCATCTCGACATCGATTGGATTGTTGTTGAAAAGCAGCTCAACTCAGAGTTGACGTCGTCGGGCAGAGAGTTGCCAAACACAATCGATCTCCAGAGCACTGGGAGTGGGGCGAACTATTTCGTCGAGGCAAGAAACTGAGGCTAAGTATCACCTTCAAATATGTTGAGAACGACTCGCTCCACAAAATTACCTCGGGTAGAGTCGAGAAAAGAGGAAGGTCATCAGTCATTAAACGAATGCTCGACGAGCGAGACGCTCAACTGGATGCCGAAGAAAACGTGTCCAGGCAAGAATCTATATGGCGGGGTGTTTATAACCTAATGCGTTGCCCATCCTGCTCATGCCATCGGGTGCGAGGAGCGACTCCATCTGCTCATCCTTGCTCACCCCTCTCCTCAGTGAGCAGGTGAAATGATTTTGGGTGAAAAGCCTGGGGGATGCCAGGTATTACGAAATGCACGTGACTTGACGATCTTACAGCTCCTGGCAGCCTAGCGGCACATCTCGAAACTGCGGACTTCAGAAAAAGGTGGTTGCTTGGATGGTAGCATACGCTAGTTTCGCCATAGCAAAAATAAAATGCGATCTCGTATTGCCTACTCGCCCACTGAAAACAGCCAGTAGCAACTGGCTTTCGAAGTGATATATCAAAGCGTGACTTTTATCGGGCGGGAGCTGGCTGATTATCGCGTCCTGCGCTAAATTTTAGTTTTCTGGCTCGGGTCGATCCGATTCCTGGGAGACACCCCACAGGACCACCAGAATGCTTGCTTAATGTGGGTTGTCCGCCAATTTGCCCCATGTCTCAGCGTCGCGGAGTCAGTCACCTGAAGGTGAACCTAAGGCATGCCCCTCCTTAAGCTGGGTGGGCGTAGAAGCACAACCTTCTGAGCTATGCGTAGCCTGAATACTATGTATATCAGTCCATTGATACAGAGGCTATCGCACGGAGATGGAATTACTAAACGCTGCTTCAATTTATACAGTTGAAGTATCTATTGACCGTTGAGGATTTAGATAGCCGACATTTTCCGTGAGGTACTTTTGCATTAAGCGAGCGGAGTTCCATCTAAATATCGCTCCGAATTTCTGTGTCGCCAACATCCAATGTAAGCAGTCTCTTCCAGTGGGAGCACATTTTCTCTCGAAGTTAGTTCGATCATATTATTATCATGATATAGATTCAAAGTCTACCACTCTATGTTGGAGCTAGATTTCCATGAGTTATTCGAAGGAGCAGAGCCAAGGGTTTCCGATATTGCTTTCTAGCGCCATTGAATCACATGACAATAAAGTTGCAAGATACCCCTCACTCAGATGAATGACTTGCAACTTCCTTGACCGCAAACTGTGCGATCCCGAGTGACTTTGAATATGACATCAATCAACTTCATCGGCACAAACCATGGGCTCCAGATCGGAAACAACTACGGGACGGCGCAATTCCACCAGCGTAGGTTAGATCCTATTCGGTAAGCTTAGTTCATGAAGCTTACACCGCTCATAGCAAACACCACTGAAGATATCGATCGGCTGTGCCTCCAAAATCTAAATTGCCCTGATTCACTAGTCGTGAAAAATCGGCTGAAAGAGGCCAAGGACAAGTTACTCCGAGAATCGTTCGAATGGATTTTTCAAGACCCGCAGTACCGCAGTTGGCGAGATGGATCAGATGTCTGCCTGCTTTGGATCAAGGGCGGTGCTGGGAAAGGAAAGACCATGATGTCCATTGGTCTTATCGAAGAGCTTTCTCGGGTACGACATGAAACAGCTAGGGTGACTTATTTCTTCTGCCAAAATGCCGACAACAAGCTCAACACCCTTGAATTCATCATCAAGGGCTTGATTCTAAAGTTGATGAGCCAGCAAATCGAGCTTAAAGAATCTTTGCGACGTCGCTGGGACACTAAGAACGATCGTTTCAATGAGGACGTTACTTCATGGCGGACATTATGGACCATCCTATTCGAGATGTTGGACCGATGCAATGCCCCGAAAATATATATTATTGTGGATGCTCTTGATGAGTGCCATGATAGCTGCATGGCCGAGTTCTTGCAGCTTATCGTCCGTAATGGACTAGACCACCCCGCAAAAATCAAATGGCTGTTGACAAGTCGGCCATTAGAGGCCGCAGAACGAGCATTGCTAGCTGCACATGACCAGGTCCAAGTTAGCCTGGAGCTCAACTCGAAATTTGTCTCTCAAGCGGTAAGGGCTTACGTCTCTTATAAAGTGGATGAGCTCAGTCGTCGAAGCAAATATGGAGAGACATTGAGAAGAGAAATGAAGGCTGAACTTACTTCAAAGGCTGAAGGTACCTTTCTGTGGGTGAGCCTGGTATGCAAGAAACTGGAGAATGTCCGTCAAGATGAGGCTTTGGCCACAATTCAAAATTTGCCGCCAGGGCTGCATCCTTTCTACGACCGGATATTGCACCAACTCAGCCAAGGTGAGCCAGACGATGTCCAGAAGTGCATGCGACTACTTCGGGCAATGACTCTGGTATATCGACCTTTGAAAGTGGAAGAAGTTTCGAGTTTAACTGGCTTGACTAACGAAGACGACGCTATCAAGGCGTTAGTCAATCGTTGTGCGTCATTCTTATGGATGCAGAAAAACAACGTGGAGTTTATCCATCAATCTGCTCGAGACTACTTGGCCGGGGATAACGGACAGTCCTTACTTGACGCGCATGTACGGTTCGGACATCCTGAAATTGCGTCGAGGTGTCTGTCTCAGATGTCTAAATGGCTTCAGATCAACCTCGGAAGCTTGCCGCGACCTGACTCAACTAGAGAATCTTGGAAACCGCTTAAAAAAGAGAAACAACATGTCCAACTTTCTTGCCTGGACTATGCATCTACCTTCTGGGTGCAACACCTCGAGAGTATCAAGCAAAGCACAATACTACAGAGCTCACTCATGGAGCAGGGTGTCGTTGGTAAATTCCTTCGCAAAAGATTGTTGGAATGGCTAGAATGCCTTAGCCTGTTCAACAGGCTACCACGGGCTATTCAAGCATTGGAAGCACTAGGGAATATAGCAAAGGTCAGAATTCGAATTTGTATTGATGTCTAGGGGTCTTTGCTTACAAATTTGTCAAAGGACAACCCCTCAACATTGGCACTTGTGCAGGATGCTACACGGTTTTTGTTGCGACACTACCACACTTTGGATCGTTGGCCGTTACAGATCTACAGCTCTGCTATTGTATTTAGCCCTGAAACAAGCGTTGTGAAGATGGAGAATTTGGACAAAATTCCAGTATATCTGAGAAAAGCTCCTCCCATGGACAGAAATTGGACGTCTACAATACAGACACTTGAAGGCCACTCAGATGCGGTCGATCTTGTTGTCTTTTCACCCGACGGCACGCAGATCGCATCCGGCTCCAGTGACAACACCATCAAGCTTTGGGATACCACCACGGGTGACCTTCAGAAGACACTAGAAGGCCACTCGGCTGAGATCATAGCCGTGATATTTTCACCCGACAGCAAACGGATCGTATCAGGTTCCGATGACAACACCATCAAGCTTTGGGATAACACCACGGGTGACCTTCAAAAGACATTAGAAGGCCACTCAGATACGCTCACTATTGTGGACTTATCACCCGACGGCAAGCATATCGCATCAGGTACCGTTAGTGGAACCGTCAAGCTTTGGGGTACCGCCACAGGTGAGCTTCAGAAGACGCTAGTAGGCCACTCAAAGAGGGTCCTTGATGTGGCCTTCTCACCCGATGGCAAGCAAATCGCATCATACTCAAATGATAAAACCATCAAGCTTTGGGATACCACAACGGGTGACCTTCAAAAGACATTAGTGGGCCACTCGGACGGGGTCTGGACTATCAAATTTTCACCCGACGGCAAGCAACTCGCATCATTCTCCGAATACGACACCATCAAGCTTTGGGATACCACCACGGGTGACCTTCAGAAGACATTAGAAGGCCACTCAGATAGGCTCACCACTGTGGACTTATCACCCGACGGCAAGCATATCGCATCAGGTACCGTTAGTGGAACCGTCAAGCTTTGGGATACTGCCACAGGTGACTTTCAGAAGACACTAGAAGGCCACTCAGATGTGGTCGAACTTGTGGTCTTTTCACCTGACGGCACACAGATCGCATCCTGCTCCAGTGACAACACTATCAAGCTTTGGGATACCACCACGGGTGATCTTCAAAAGACATTAGTAGGCCACTCGGAGATGGTTACAGATGTGGCTTTTTCACCCGACGGCAAACAGATCGTATCAGGCTCCATAGATGATACCATCAAGCTTTGGGACATCATCGCGGATCACGTTGAGGATACACTAGAAGGCCACTCGAGCCATATCTGGGAAGTGGACTTTTCACCTGACGGCACACAGATCGCATCCTGCTCCAGTGACAACACTATCAAGCTTTGGGACACCACCACGGGTGATCTTCAAAAGACATTAGTAGGCCACTCGGAGATGGTCACAAGTGTGGCATTTTCACCCGACGGCAAACAGATCGTATCAGGCTCTGGTGACAACACTATCAAGCTTTGGGATGCCACCACGGGTGATCTTCAAAAGACATTAGTAGGCCACTCGGAGATGGTCGCAACTGTTATATTTTCACCCGACAGCACACAGATCGCATCCGGCTCTGGCGACAACACTATCAAGCTTTGGGATACCACCACGGGTGGCCTTCAGAAAACATTAGTAGGCCACTCACAATGGGTCGCTACTGTGGCCTTTTCACCCGACGGCAAGCAGATCGCATCAGGTTCCCATGACAACACCATCAAGCTTTGGGATCCCATCACAGGTAGTCTTCAGAAAACACTGGTAGGTCACTCGAAGAGGGTCACTACTGTTGCGTTTTCACCCGACGGCAAGCAAATCGCATCAGGTTCCCGTGACAGCACTATCAAGTTTTGGGACATCGCCAAATCTCTTAAACCAGCAAAGTTACTCGGCCATCAACTAAGTCGACAAATAAAATTCCGATCATGGAAAGAAATCAGGACATCACAGCCAGTGAAAAAGATAAAATGTTGGGCAGGTAACGGGTACCTTATCACAGACGTTGGACCAATCATGCTTTCTGGCCTTGCTTCACAAAATCAGGACGGAATTTCGAATCTTCCACTGGTTCTTTTCGTTAGAGATCAGTGGATAGTCTATGGAGATATGCCTTTTTTCCGATTACCAGCACATTCACGGCCAGCAACCCACGATGTTCATGGCGATCGAGTGGCCATTGGATTGGAAAATGGTCGAATCTTGCGTTTTGACATCGATCGAAGTAGTTTGCACGCAATACTAAAATCATGCCGGGCGTGAAAATCTGGTGTAGAGGGCAGTTCAGGACAGAAGGTAGTTCGGCTCCTGAGCTATTTCCGATCCCGTATGTCACTGCTTTTATATATTTTCCGACTCCTTTGTGTTTCTATGTGGTTTCTTTTAAATGAGTGTCTTGCCTGTCTCTAGCATCATTATTGTCTTTCTCGTTATTCTATGCCTGAATATTATGTTTACGTGGCAATTTCTGCTTTCTATATTACTTCCCAAATGATCTTTATACTTTTAAATTGACTTAGTACGCATCACTTGAAAGGGTTTCTACTTACCACTTCAATGAGCACAGCTGCCAAGAGATTCAGGGCAAGCGGATTCTTGAACGAGAGAGCGAGCCAATTTCCTGCGAAATGCTAGTTTTTCTCGGTAAGAGGATTACAAGTAATCTATATAATGTCTGATCACGTGCCATACTATTTCAATACGATTCAAATCTTGAAACCGTGCTATGTCCGAACTGGATTAGCGTGTTTCGTCATAGGCTTGGAGAAAGATTCTGTGACAGCAAAGTGGTGAAACTGATTTCGAGCGCGTCTGTACCTCGACGTGAGCATCCGCGGTTTCTCTTGGAAATACACAGAGGCTGTACGGTAGATCGGCTCAGTCGGCTGCTGTGGCGGAGACCTCGTCTCACGGACAATTGGACCAGCTAACTCAAAACTCGTATTTTTGATCGGCTGGTGTGAATGCAATGCATCTGGTGGGAATCATACCTGTATCTCTCAAAGGCACTGTCTAGCGTGCTTATCCACGAGGTATTCCATAAATGTCAGTACAGTGGAATTCAGTACTGGGTCAAAGGTGGAGAACTTCTCAAGTGACTCAGACACAAGCCTACTCGACTTTTCGTAGTCATATGAACAAATTGAAGAGCAAATTTCCGGGGGGTAGAGAACGTATTTATAGACTTCCCGGCTCATCCTGTCGCCGAAGTGCGCTGCTTGGTAGGACACGTTAAGGGAGAACTCTCTTAATTGAGGCCTGTTGAAATCCATTTCTTCTTTCTACCTTAGATATTTGTAGCGACATTTCTGATGCCTTTAAATGCTCATCGAGAGAGATAATTAAAAGTGGTGTTGAACAACAGCATGCTGAGTGTGTCAAGGAACGTTGGCTGACTGTTGAATCCTCCACGACTCTTTAAAATTGAGGCACTGGAGTCCTATTCAATCCGCAATGACAGGCTCATATTTCTTGTTCTGATACCTCACCCGTGGAGTGACTCAGCGTTAAATCACTGAAAAGTGCCTACAATTTCATACTCGAAATCATGGACTTCTTTCCTAGCCTCGCTTTAGTGGTGTGTTGGTTGTGTTGAGCTGTGGGTTTGTCCGACCAGACTTCGGAAAGCGAGGTCGGTAGGATGTATTCGACTCATCAACCCGTTGAAGCTTAGCCCAACGTTGTCTGTTGAATTAGACTAGCAGGCAAGAATAATGCAGCATGAAGGTGCTATCCTGATCTACTGAGCGGAAAGTTATGGGTGAGAATCAAATAACTGAATTTGTCTAATCCAGGTAAAACCTGAAAAAAAGGCTCTTTATATAACCACATGCTTGGGACCTGGTTACTATGCCGTAGGCATAGTAAACCTCTGCCGATCAGGGGTAATCGACACGTGAGGCGATTCCTATTGGCTTATCCACGTGGGACAACAACGAGGTTAGAATTATGGAGTTTTGCGATACACTTCGAGAATTGAATTTCCAAGAGAATAGAATAAAGGACAATTCTCAACAAGGACTGCGAGCTCCTACTTTGGGCTTTGTCTATATATCTAGTCTGTAGAAAGTTCTAGAATATAGTTTCTCCTGCATCAACCTTGCCCTCAATGAGTGTCCTCTTCGAGCCCCCCATTGACCTTTTTCCCTGCCTACAATCTAGGGCGCCGAAGAGGAATAAGATGCCTTAACTCAAATCGCCGGTCTATGAACAACAGCAGGCAGCTTAAAGGATTCATGCTATCTTCAGACGGATCACAGGGATTACGTGGATAAACATTCAGGGTTGAGCTATCGTAAGGCCAATCTGTATGTACTAGCTATTGGCGGGAAAGACGAATTCAACCCTACGGACGGTCGAGGATATGACCTGAAGTTGAACTAGACCTTATGTTGAATGGTATCGCTTAGCACGGCGGATGCAAATTGGGATTCGGAGCTGGACGCCAGTACACCGATATATTTGATATACCCATCTAGGCTGCCACTATTGACCATAGGCGGAGCATCAGGTCTTACTCAATCCGAGGATAACGCATCGATGGAGTCCTAATAAAGACTGGCTCTGATAGAATTGTTTGCGGGGATCTGGAAGGTCTGAAAAACTGATTGGCCTCAGGTTTGTCAGACAAGGTAGGGTTTGGATATTCGTGATTACCCGGCGAAGGAGTTCGCTCTGTATGTATCAATTTCGGAGCCAACAAACCGAACCTCATGATGGGGGAAGGAACGATGATGCTGTTCATGCATGCAAATGCAGGGCGCAATCTTGCTACGTGTTCCCTCGTATGTGGCTTCGATGTATATACGCGAGTCATGGCATGCAGATGTCGAATAGTCAAGCTAGCACGTGTCGTTCAGGCCGTGGTCACATCAGAGGGGTTGTTGCAAGTTCTGAGAATTTCATTTCGAGGCCCCCGAATAAATTCTCTCAATTGAGAAGACAGGTTAGCAGCTGAGGAGAGGAATCGATGCTACTGCGGGGCGGCCCACTTTTTCGGCGGCAAATTTGCCTCCTGTCTCAGACGGGGATTTTCTTGGAAAAACAGGTAGGGAAGAGCTCCAAGTTGAAGGGCTAGCAATTTCAGGGCGTCTTAAGGCACCCCTGGGAGGATTGGTAAAAGCAATATTTGGCTACCAAAAATAAGATGCCTAGAGTCCGTGCCGATAATCGCCCTCTCAAGGCCGACGAAGGGGTGAGTTTCTGCCAGACTTGCGTTATGGCGTTATGGTGTGGATGCAGCGTATGTCTAGTCAGCTTCCTAGAAACCAATTAGTTTTCTAGGTCTCTATGTTGATTGAATAGGCAAAGCCTAAGGCACCTCTGGAATCCAGTGCTAGCACGTTTAGGGCGGCTACTCGAAAATGTTTGATAATGTTCTACGCGTACCCCCTGCACTTCATTGACTGAGCACGGACATGATGCGGAGCATATGCGGGGGGGGCTCGTGGCATGAGCTGATTGGCCCTCTGGATATAGCGAGGCGCCTGTTGAGTGGCAGGTTATAGAGCCTCAGTCGAACGGCCATACATAAAGGGTGGGTTTGAGAATCAATGGCATGAGCCGTAGAGCATGTACTGCCGAAAGAAAGTACAATACCAACATTAGCGACATAGGATTTCTCGCCTTCACATCAAAGGTAAGTATTAGTCCTACGCTGCTCGTGTACAACATCTCAAATTTTCTTCTCAGAAACCATGTCCCAGCCTCGCCCTCTTCCTCCAGCTCGACTACTACGGGGCCCCGTGGATGACGAATCGCAAATCGTGGTAGATCAATATATCTTTAATGATCTCGAACATCCACAACGCTCAAGATATGCGCCAAATTGGATGACTGGACCTTTTTATATCTTTTCTCCAACCCGATATTTTCTTAACAACCTCAAACCACCGCCCCACGTTGATACGTTGTTGCTCCCATATGCCAACAAAACCAAAAATCGACCGAACAGTGCACAAGGTGGCCAGTCCCGTGTTAGATCACACCATACATCTGTAAATCATGAACAACGCGGTGAATGGGACCAGGGAGAAGGTAAAAAAAACAAGGAAAGCCTCAATACAACAACTACTTCTACTTTTGATATCCGGACGAATGAACACAAGCGCCGAATAGAAGATCTGAAAGAAAAACTGAAATACATCTTTCCAGAAAATGGATCTGCTGTGGTTTTAATGTGCTGGGGTAAGCCGTCCTGTTGCACAATCTTGCCTGTGCGTGTCTCCAGCCCGGAAGATGAAGTGACTACATGGAGCGAGATCCGAAAAGCCTGGTACAATCGCAAAGGAAATTGGAGAAAATGCATACCTGGATTCAGAGTCGCACGAGTTGACAGTGTCGAGGTAAGATTGACGACATAATTCTTCCAAATAACTTCGCTCATTATATATTAGCTCTCGATATTAGGGCTAAAGGATAAAATGACAAAAGCAGAGGAATGCGAATATGTTGGAGCATTCTCTGAGACTGAATTATTTTCGGAGAAGAGAAGACTGGAAAACATCATAGACAATTGTGATGCCACATCTGGCTGTGTTTACGATTGTTACACTGATACAGCAGACTGTTATGACACAGCGGACTATACTTGCATGTGTTATGAGTGCTTTCCGGGCCTTGATGAGGCCGGCGCTTGCCCAGCTAAGATATTGCATGATGCTAGACGGAAGCTTTTATTATTGTCAACACCTGCTTCCATGAAACATGTCTTCTCCAGCCCGAGCCTTGCCGCATCGAATGACTTTCTCAAGAACGAGCACCTAGTATACAGCCACCGGTAAGCAAGTCAATCAAGAATCCAAATTGGAATATACCCTAATCCATCTGCCATAGGGAGATCTTAAGTTGTTTCAACACTTGGCACATTTCACACCGCCCAAGCCTGATAGAACTCCAATTCACAGGTATCTTCATCAAGGAGGGTTGGACACTAGATATGCATCTGGCATTTTTGCTTTTAGTAGCAACATCCTTATTGGTTGTCATAGCTGCTCAGTTCGTTTTCGGTTGGGATACGGCATGGACCGTAGGCGGCTTCTTCGTCGCTTTGCTTTCTCTTTGGATGTTAGCAACTTCTATAGTTGACTGAAATTCTCGTGGACTTGATTTCATAAGAATTGATCTATCGCTTGTCACTGGGCTTGAATTGATGTGCTCGTTTCTCTCTTTTGATTATTCATCCGGCAGACGTTGTCCTCATCTACGTATACGAGAGACCCTTACATCGGGTCGGATATGATCCCATGAATATGAATGTCTCAGTAGAATAAACGAGAATGCGGAGCTTTCTTCCTTACGGATCATTCTTTCATACGGGCAGGATGCCCAGGATCACAATACCTTATTCAGCCTTTAAAGTACTAAGTTGACATTTATGCTCAATCACAAAGCCATTTGCACAGACTTACCAATGTCTTCTCTTCACCGCAACTATTTGCAGCGACATTTTGGTGCCCTTGGATCCTCAGCGAGAGAGACGAGTCGATTGGTGTTGAGAATAAGGATGCTGGGTCGGTCATGAAACGCTGGCTCAATGTTGAATCCTTCGCGGCCCTCTTAAATTGAGGCTTTAGGGGAGATATTCTGTCTGCGATGACAGGCTCACATTTCGTGTGCTGATCACCTCATCTATGAGCGATTCAACGTTGAATAACTGAAAAACGCCTATAATTTCATATGGAGAAGTCATGCATTTTTTCCCCTAGCCTCGCTTTTAGTTTTATGTAGGTTGTGTTGAGCTGCGGGTCTGTCTGTCTAGACTGCAGATAGCGAGGTCACAGTCGGACGTGCGGGTGGGTGCTCAACGCGTTGAAGCTTGGCTAATCGTTGTCAACCCTCAATTTTCGAACTTGTAACATGAAACATGAATAATAATATATTTTTTTTAAAATATTCATTTCAGATTTTTATGTCTACGATGTGCCAGTTCTTGAATTTTCGAGGCTTTCAACGAAGGTCGAAAAGACCTCCAATTGATATGTAAACTTCAAAGAGCGTTCATATTTGGCCCGCAACACTGTGAGGCTTGATCATTTACCGACCGACTTATTGATCACTATACTTTGATTGAGTTCACTGCCAGCAGCACGCCGAAGTGCAATCAAACTGTAGCCAAAGGTTGACAGCATCAATTAAAAGTTAAGAATCTCGTACATAGTCAATTGCGTTCGCATAGTCTAAAAGAGGCATCAACGATCGATGATCATAGTATTGCCCAGACTCATGACTTGCTGCTGAAGACAAAATGAATGCACAAAATAGCTTAACAGACCAGTGAATTGCCAATCCTTGGCGAGAAAGACAACTCACAAGAAACTTCTGGCCATACCCTTTTGGTAAGTGAAACCGATTGGCTCCGAATACTTTGATGACCACCATAGCCCTCTTGATACTTTGCTAACCACCATAGCCCTCTTGACAACAGGATGTAGATACAAATTGCACCCTGGCGACTGATCCATTGCAACCTATCTTGAAGGTTCTAGCAGACCTCGAGCGCGACGATCCCAAGTTAACCTTTCCAGCAGCTCAACTTGTTGAAGTCTATCGACAACTATGGCAGTCATGCGCGTCCAAGCACATCGATGGCAAGAAGCTGGAGCAGGATAACCTTGTTTTGAAGGAGGCTGGTACGCACATGAGAAAAGAGAGAGATGGTCTTCAGGTTCGCCACGACAAACAGCTATCCGGCTGCGCTTTTATGAGCAGGCACTGAATTCGTCTCTAGAACGACTAACTAGTGTATTTGATGACCGGAACCACCCTTCCAGCCTCAATCTCACAAGGTACTTGAACGAGGGTGAAGAACTGTCTTTTCGAGGCGATGTGCCATTTTTCAGCATAGAAATACTACAGTTGACTTTTCGAATCAAGGAGAAGTACTGCTAAGAAAACATCTTCAGTTCGAAGTACCAGCAAAAGTGTGCATGGAATAGCCTCCCATTTAATTTATGCTCACTGGAAAATGTTGAATAACAACGCAATTTATGGACCAATCTCACTTGTAGTTACCCAGTATGTTATGCACAATAAACATTGGATCAAGGGATACATAATACTAAAGTTGACTTTTCGAATCAAGTAGAACTACTGCTTAAAAGGATCTTGTATTTCTAAGTACTTGCAAAATTTAGTGCGTGGAATAGCCTCCCATCTAATTTATGCTCACTGGAAAATGTTGAATAACAACGCAATTTTTGGACCAATCTCACTTGTTATTACCCAGTATGTTATGCACAAAAAGCCTTGTATCAAGGGACACCTTTGTGGGTACATAGCGCAACTAGTGAAGGAAGTGTTAAATGAGTGGAATGCGGTAAGGGTTCCATGCGAGGCCAAAGGGACATACGGAATCCAGTGCCTATTGCACCAATACCATGGCAGGAGATCGTATCTAGCAACTGTTCGCGTACCGTACGGAGATTCCACGTGGCCGTCTCAACTCGGGGTAGACATGGACAGTGGGTCAGGACCAGCCCATCTGAAGGCTGACAGCTTGTCGTAAGTGGGATGAAATAGGTCGATCAAGGATGACCCTGAACTCTCATATACTGCAAGCTTACTCTCATCCGAGAGAATCTGCTGAGGGTGTTCGAAGTCGGTGGCGACACAGGGAGGTGGTGTCGGTATGCCAGAGCACTCTTGCCAGATGGCGTGAAGGTCGATATCCAAATCACAGTCTACCACTTTCAGCCCCAAACAATCATTGGAACAACGGGTACAGACCATTGTTAAATTCGTATATCTTTGTTCAAAACTCGCCGTTGAAGGCTGGTGGTGAAATGCAAAGTGTATAAAGTAGCAATTCGACGAGGGTTGGTAGGGACAGAATGCTGCAGGCTGAGCAGGAATTTGATTTTTCTTCTAACGCTAGTTCATCGCAGACTAGGGAAGCTTTATAGCCAGATGCTTAGTCCTTGAATCCGTAATGACTGGTGTATCCACAGCCGTGAATAGTTAACGCCCCGTCACCAATTCCAGCGGAACTTCACCGGCGCTTATATGGGCCGCTAAAAAGAAGGATAATATTTAGGAAAGGAGTCAAATAAATAACAGGACTATTCAGATGTCGTTATCGTCCACGAGCGCTTAAAAAACACTGAGACCTGATCATGGCCCATTAACATAATAGGCTTAATTATTGCTCGCTTGCAAGGATGACACGTCGCCATTACAAAGTGCTCGAACTGATTGCTTTCGATTCGAAAGTATCAATACCTGCTCATCGCAGGGCTGTAGAAGGATGTCGCTGTGGCTTACGAGCCACTCATTTAACTCTTGAAATTGTCGTTGCTCCTCCTCGAGTCGTATCTTCTCGGCAGATTTGACAACGTAGCACTCCCACAGGCAAAGATACAGGCCCAGAAGGTTGAGGGCTGGTGTAGCCAGGGCGTCGTTGTAGTGTAGAAGTTTCATGAACTCCGCTGTAAGGGAACCGGGTGTGTGCACTGGAACCTATATAGTGTTAGTGATCTCGCTCGCTTGCCATCGAAGAGGGCCTGACTAACCTCGGCTTCGATGGGAGCACCATCTGAAAATTGCTATTGGTCGCTTTGCTCCTGGTTCTCATCTTCAACGTCGTGGGTAATCCGACACTATCTCTTGACTGGTCAGTCACACGGGAAAGGTGAAGTCGGAAGGTCCATCGTAGCCTATGAAACAAAATACAAGAGAGATTGTACTGAAGGGTATTTTAAAGCCAGGCACACTGAGGCTGCTGTCATTGCCAGACCTGACCTCGACCGGCTTCCAAAAAGTCTGTGAACGCTACCTCAACGGTTTCAACTGTTGACGCTCAATCTCACCTGTTGTTCACCCTTAATCACTCAATCTAATATGTAAATGGGCAACAGATGAAGCCTTGAGACAAGAACTTGTACGAAATACCTCCTCATGATAGTTTGTAAGTGAAACTTGGATGAATTAGATGGTATTAAACAGCTAGGCTTCATTGAAGCTGAACATGGTATTACTGTGAATAAACCTGTTCGGCGGGGATATACACACAATTAATTCCTAGACTCCTGGCAAATGATGCTAAGAACAACCTTCTGGTATTATATCATGACAGGTCTGGATGTCGCTAACTGTACAAACCACTAAGGTTCATCCTCGAAGACCGCCTTCAGAATGTTTGACGAGAGTTGTCGGCTTCTATTCTGTTCTGAATAGCCCTTTTGATGCAGTTTTCTCTTGCTAGCTCAAGAGGTCTCTTTAAACTGAAGCATTGGAGTCTGGTGTTTACTAAAAGAGCATTAAAAATTGAGATATAACCATCCTTGACTACCAACATCAACGGATCCTCAAAATATTCATTCCGGAGGTTGATATCAATTTAGTGATAGGATAATAGTGTCTAGACTATCTCCAAGTCACCATCATATATAGTAATATAGAGTACAGTGTTGTAAGATACGATCGTGCTTTTATTGATGTTTAGACGTGTACCTTCTTGCACTAATATCCTAACCACATCATGATGGTTGTATACAGCTGCTTGATAGATTAGCGGATCTATAAAGCCCCTCCTAGTGATCCTCACGCTCCCCATACTCAGAGATAAGCAACCGTGCTCACGTATCTGTGGGATACGGCGATAGAGATTGGAGAGTGACCTATAATATACAAATTCGGATTAATCTCTGGCACTCTAAGGAGCCGTTGTAGGAGCATAGTATCCAATCTGGCCGCAACGTGGTGTAGAGATGTAGACGGCATTTCAAATCTCCTATAGGCCCCAATAAGATTAACGTCAATGCTTTTCTCGATTAACAGTCTTTCTGTTATCTTATAGTAAGACAAGTAAGTAGAAAGCCAAAAGGGTGTATTTCCATCCTTGTCTGTATAGTTTATATTGATATGCAGATGACTTAAAAGCAAATCGACTACTTCAGGGCAATTACTTTCGATAGCTAGATAGAGTGGTGTATAGCCTTTCTAATCCTAGCTGTCTAGTGCCGGATCTTTTCTTTTAAAAAGCTGCTGGATAGTCGCTAGAGAACCATGGATGATTGCTTGATGTAGTGGTAGTAGAGCGTCCTGTGATAATTGAGTTCTAATAAACAAGTTGGAGTTGGAGTCGTTAAAAAT